TACGGTGCGTAACGCATTTCTCTATCTAAAAAAAAAAAAAAAAAAAAATGCTGGATCAAACTAGGCCTATTCCCAAATTTCTTCTCACATTTGTCACATGCATAGTCTCTACGTCCTTGATGGACCGTCTTTTCATGCAAGAATAAGTTTGATTTGAACCCAAATTTCTTCTCGCATTTGTTGCATGCAAAATCTTTTCGACCTTCGTGTACCGCCTTGAGGTGGAAGAGCAAATTAGATTTTTGTGTATATTTCTTTTCACACTTGTTACATGCGAAATCTTTGCGACCTTCGTGGACTACTTTTTGGTGCTGTATCAAATTTCCTCGTTCCCCAAATTTTTTCTGGCATTTGTCGCACTCGAAATTTTTTCGACGTTCGTGGACTGTTTTTTCATGTTTTCTCAAGTTGCTTTGATCCCCAAATTTCTTTTCGCACTCATTGCAGGCGAAATCTTTACGACCTTCGTGTGCTATCTTTTGGCGCAAAAGCAAATGCGATTTATTGCTAAATTTCTTCTCGCCATTTTCGAATAGAAAATCATTGCGACCTTTGTGCACTCTTTTCAGATGCATGAGAAAACTATGTTTAGTATCAAATCTCTTCGCGCACATTTCACATAAGTAGTTTTTGAAAACTTCGTGGAATATTTTGTTGTGCTTTAGTAAAGTTGATTTATTTTCAAATTTCTTGTCGCACTTGTTACATGAGTAATCTTCGCGATCTTTGTGTACCAATTTTTGATGCGTAAACAAACTCGATTTTTTCACAAATTTCTTTTCGCACTGGTCGCATCCAAAATCATTGCGGCTTCTGTGTTCTGAAATTTGATGTCTACTCAAATGACTTCGGAACTCAAATTTCATTTCGCACTTGTCACATACATAATTTTTTTGTTCACTATGAAATGTGTCTCGGTGGGTTATCAAGCTCGATTCTAGTGTAAATGCCTCCTGAAAAATATCACAAATCTGTTTTTTGTCGCCTGAAACAATACTGTCGTTCTCACTCAGATTAATTTCCGAGCCAACTTCTTTGGTTTTCCTCTCATTTTCATCCATGTCGATGCCTCAATAAACCAATGGATCCTTCAAAATTTTTTTTTTGAGATTACGGCTCGTTAGAAATATAACATTCAAACTAATTTGTTTTTCTATTAACACGATCAATGTATTCGAGGCATGATGTGAAAATCGTTTACGATCTTATTGTTTGCATCAATCTTACCGATTTATCTGTTTATATACATTGTCCGTACAATATCGGAACGAGCTTAAATTGTCGAAAACATACCAATAGCGGCAGAAAATATCGTCACTCGCTTGCTCCGACAAAGTCAGCGAGTTTTTGGATAACAAAAATTTACTGTACCTGTGTGTATGTCGCTTATGCGTCAATCGGATAATGATTTTTGTCGGATTTTTTTTAAAGTTTCATCGGTCAGAATTGCGTTCAGCAAAATCACGCGTCGAAATTGCTTTTACCCAGCGTTACTCGTTTATTTTTTTCGAGCTTTTTCAGGAGATTAATTGAATGAAAAACCGCTCAAAAGATCTTTATCCGCACGCGGCGAATCGACGTCCGCATATACTTGTGCGCGCGCTCATAATCACATGATTCGCGCGAGAAAATGAATTTAGGACTCTCATGAAAGATGGATGAAAAAAGAAAACGGTCGCGCGAGCAAAGAGCAGCTATTCTTTAATATGAAAAGTTTTAGCCGCGAGCTAGATGCTACTGCACTTTTTTCATCCAGCTTCTACGACTCTATCATCATCGTCGTCGTCGTCGTCTCTCTCTTTCATTTTTTTTTTTTTTTCAACCCCCGAGAGCAACAAGAAATCTCTTTACCCGGAACAATTACACGAGCTCTCCTCCTCATTATCATCAAAAGACAGAGAGGAGAACTTTTCATTGCGAAAAGTTTCGTCGTATACGGGAAAGTCGTTCTCCTTTCTCTCTCTATATATTTTTTTTTCTCTCTCCGCCACGACGCGCGAACCGAAAGTTTAATAGGATATTATAACCCCAATACACGCGCGTGATAAACGCTCGCGAAAATTTTCTCAGCTACCTCGTATAATTCATCGCCAGAGAGAAGCTGTAGAAAAAAAAATCTGCGCGCGTACATATATATATATTTTGGTACTGCTGCTACTCACCGCCGATAGGTTGAAACCTGGCCAACGGATCGGAGAACTGCCGCAGCCTGTCCGTCACGTACTGCGTCGAATCGGCATTCTGCAACACATACGAGGAATATAAAAAAAAAAAAATTAGTATAAAAGTTTCAGCGCTGCGATATATTTTTCCAGCCAATGAAATTTCAATTTTCATTTCGTAATTCGCCTTATATATGCCTCGGAGCTTGGACGTCGGGTATAATATACTTTTGGACAAGCTTCTAAAATATATTACACGTATACACGCGGAGTGAGGGAGAGTTTCGTACGCTCTGTGCACCCCCTGAAGGAGTAGGAGAACCAAAAGTCAAGTTATAAACTTTTGACGATTTCATTTAAAACTTGGTACTTGGTGCGTCGAAGTAAAGGCAACTTTATTCGCGAGTATACACATCCTCTCTCTCGCTCTCTCTCTCTCTCTCTCATTCGCTCAGTCGGAGGCAAAGATATATCCGAGAAGAAGTTTTCCCCCCTTTCTGGCCTTTGTATAGAGCTCGATATATATGTATTATACACGGATTACTAATACGGAATACGAAATGCAGCTCCGGCTCCGTCGCGTATAAATGCTGCAACGTTATGAATACGCGAGTATTTCCGATCCGCACTCGAGGAAATTGCGGGCGTGTTTATACGCCTATCTCGCGGCCCTGTATCCTCGATAATATAATGATCGACCGAAAAATTACGATTCAAAACGATTCAAACGGCTAATTTTTGGAGATTTTTCTGTTACAACTTATTTAACCTCTTTAAGTATGATAATACCGACTCAAGCCGCTAGATGGCGAGTACCTTTGAATCTGTAAATCTGCAAGTGGATAGGTAAGAATAATTTTATAAATGAAATCACGGCTTATGTAAAATATGAGTATATACTGTGCTTATTCTCCTCTAAACGTCGAGCGTTTCTACCCAGGATTCTTACCGTCGAATCCATCGCAGTACGCACGTGCGAACTCGCTGTACGCGCTATATCGTATCCGCATATCCTTCGAATCGAGTACGATTATATCTCGTTCGAGTACGACGGACGACACAAATAAAAAGTAAATAAAAAAAAAGCGATAGTATCGTTTGTCGCTACGACAATAGGTCTCTCTCTCTTTACTGCATAGGCCCGAAGTTCATCGGAAGGGGCAGCTCGCGGTGCAAAAGCTCAATCGGTGCACACGTTCAATTTGCTTCGACCCAATTTCGAACAGTCGCTATACATCGGGGCGCGCGCGCGAAGCGTTACGTACACGTATAAAACGTTACGCGCGCGCACACACACACAAACACACATATAATAATAATGATAATAACGATGATAATGTTCATCTGCAAAATTTCGCGCTGCACGCTTGACCTCTGAACTCTGCTGCTGCGGCTCGCTGCCGCGCTATTAAGTGCGAAGGTCAAGAATCTGGGTCAGTAAGCTCGATCCTCCTACTCCTGCTGCTCCTGCTATATACTTCAGCGAGGAAGTGAGCCGTAGTGCACAGCAGCTGAGCAGCAGCAGCAGCAGCAGCAGCAGCAGTGCATCGGGGCGCTACGCGAGGCGTGACTGCAATCGCTAATGCGTGAATGTATATAAAAGTAGAGAAAGAGAGAGAGAAAAAAGCGAAAGGCGAAAAGAAATTATCCTTTATCGGAGGAGGAGCAGCGACGCGACGCAGTCGATCGAGCCCTCGAGTAAATGAGACGCGAATTGATAATTCAATCTCTCGCTTCGCTGCCATTATCATGCAAAAAGCTCCAACCCGAAAAGCGGCTAAAGGGCGGAGCTGTGTTAGTTGTGTGTTACATTATATTATATACGAGCCACGCGCCCTAGTAGTGGCGGCGGTCGAAATGGTTGACCCGGATTTTAAACGCGTATTACGCGCTTACGCGCCTTCTTACGTTATTATTGTTATTATATTGCGGCTCGCTTGTAACGAAGTTAATTGTGCCCGAGCTTTAAAGCAGTGGCAAATGGTTAACGTAATATGCTTTAAATATTGTGTAACACTTTTTCGGCTCTAGGAGCTTTTTTTGGTCAGCCTGTATACCGCACAAAAACAAAATGTGTATTCTATAATACGCGCCCGATACACATCGATGCGGTCATGTATAATGTAACGAATTTCGAATGCATCGAAACGTATCGTAATTTTCATCCGCGCGTCGAGCCGCTAATCTGCATTTCTCATCTCGAAAATACATAATATATATAATAGGCGACACCGCGCGCGTCTGCGTAGAGAAAGCGAATAGAATCCACTGCTGCCGCTGATGCTCTATTCTCGTTACGCGATATGTACGCGTATATAACACGTAACACTCGGAAAGAGCGAAAATCTTAAGCGCGCAGATCTCGCGTATAATAATATACGTCGGCTTTTATATTACGTCTGTGAATTGTTATGCCTGCGCCGTATACATAAGTACGCGTGCGCGTGTGTGTGGCTATGTGGAAAGAGAGCAAAAAGAGGAGATAAGCTCGTGGCGCGGCGGCAGAGAGTGTCAAGTCTAGCGCAGCAGCGGCGGCGCAAATGTTTTATTGCATTTGCATACATTGCATTATCGTCGTGGCGCTGATATATATACGTCGTTTCTCGTTTTGCTGCCGCTGGACGTGTGGCCTAGCCATGATTATATACACGAGCGAGCTTCAGTGGCAGCGGCGGCATCATGATGCGAAATACACAGGTATAAGAGAAAAACGGAATTAACAAACCTCGAGAGTCGAGAGAGAGATAGAACTTCGTTATCGCTTTTTCCTCGCGTACATTTACCTCGTGCGTGCGTTATAAATTCGTGTATCACGGGGAATATTTAGTGACATTTACAAATGCGATGTCTCGCGCGTAAGCTCGACCGACCGACCGTATGTATACTACGTATGTGTGAGAGCAGCGCGTCAGGAATTATATCACTTTTGCGCGCGACTAAGCTGAATTTTACTCCCTCGTTATTCGATTTATCTTTTGTGAGCCTTTTTGACGAACGATAGGGCTCTACTAAGTTTACGATAAATATTTACTTCGTTACTAAGGGCCACGCGCGAGGGGGTACGAAAAAATTTCGAAAGCTCCGAGCTTGCGAGCTGCTGCTGATGTATGTGCGACCGGGATAAAATCGATAATCCCGATGAAATTGCTGCGAAATTTATAGTCGCACGCCGTTCGTTCGTTCGCAAGGTGGCGTGAATTGTTTTGAAAAAAAAAATGACTGCGACGGCGAGGAAGGAAGGAAAATTAATTGGCACGAGATTATAAATAGAAATTCCCGGCATAATGCACTCGTTCCCCCCCCCCCCCTTTTTTTTNCCCCCCCCCCTTTTTTTTGTCTCATCAGCAGAATACCGAAAATTGTTGGATATAAAAAAAAAAAGTAGAAACAGAAGACTACCGAGGGCATGTTCGTGAGCTTTTGAATTTGAAATTATGTAAAAGCGAGCAGCTTTTACCATTTGCTGGGTTTGGAATTACACCGAGAGAGAGAGAGAGAGAGAGAATTGTGAAATATTTTTATATATCTCGGATATTGCACGCGGAGGAAATTTTCAGGTACTCGTGGAGAGGGGCCAGGCATGACTCGGGCAGTTATTATACTTATATGCTATTAATGGGCAGCGCGAGATGTATCGTCGGATAAAAATATTTAGTGCAGTATGCGAGAGATGCTGCTGCTGCAATTAAATTACTCATTTTTTTGTTGTGTGTTGTATATAGCTAGAAAAAGTACGGACGCGAATAACTTTCATATTTTCCAAAAATGTCCTAATTATCGTCAAAAGTTAAATCCAGCTAATTTCTCGACGTCCTCGCAAATACATTCGGGCGATGCGCCGTTTCATTATAAATCCCTACGATAAATTGCCGCGCACTCCATCTCTCCGGCTCAATTTGGAGCGAAAGGAAGCAAACAAACAAACACAAAATAAAAAAGATGTATCGCTAGCACGTGTCAAGCACGTGCTGAGCATCTTTGCTCGGGACAGCCGAGAGAACGACCGCAGCGTGTCACGAGAAAGAGAGAGAAAAAAAGAAAGAAAGAGCAAAATACAGCAAATAAGACGTTTTAATATAAGGTGCGTAAAGAAAGACGTAACTGTAGAAAGTCGACGTTAAGTATATTACGTTTTGTCCATTAAAAGCCTCAGTGCAGCGTTAGCGGCAGCCACTCAACGACACGTCACACAGCTCAACCCTCGGCTTCTGCACAAATGCGAATCGGACGTTTACGAGCTCGTGAAATAATTTACTTCGCCTCGGCTCCTACACGTACGTACGTAACGTGCATTAACATTTTTACCCTGATTTAGACTTTAGGCCGTGTACGCGATATGCTGCTGCAGCTCTCCTCTCGTTCGCGTACGATACAAATTGTTTCCCAGAACACACGCAGCTGTGTACTATACATACGCGTTAACGACTGGCGACGACAAACTACAAATTATCAAATTTATACAATTCGAAACGCTGCCATCGTCCCAAGTACGGCGCATAAATATTATTTTAATATATATAATGCGCGTCCGCGAGTCGAATCTGTGCTGGTTTCGGTACGTTTGCGGCCACGTTATATAAATGTGTGTAACCGGGACAGAGAGAAGAGATTGAATCGTGTGTGTTCAGCTCGGCAGACGTACGTGGCGTGTACGAGTTTTGAAAAAAAAAAGATAGGAAGAAAACCCCCCGAAGCGTCCGATTAAATCACCCTCACGGAGAGTTGGAAGAAGAGTAGTAGCAGTATGTATTAGTAGCGAGAGGAGAGAAGGATGAAGAGGACGAGAGGAGGTGGAGGAGGATGAGGATGAGGAGGAGGAAGAGGTCGGTGCTGCATCGCTTGCCACACGCAGCCTTGAGAATCCTACTATACTGTACCCAGCGCCAGGAGAGAGAGAGAGAGAGAGAGAGAGAATTGGGTCATCGGGTCAGGCTGCGTATACGTGTCGAGATTTTTAAAACTCTCTTTTCTCCCTCTTCATTTCATTTCATTTCTTTCTCTCTCTTTCTCGCTTGCCCTTATATATATCCACGTATTACCAGCGAGCAAAAATCTCGATAATTACACTCGTACAAAAAACTTCGAGAACCAGTCGGAAAAATATTATTATTACAAGGAACGAAAAAAAAATCTCGACTCACGTTGCTCTCGTTGCCGCTCGAGCACTGCTGCAAGCCGCGCTTTTTCGAGCTTGCGAGCCTGCAGACGAGTCCGCCGCCGCTGCAGCTGCTGCCACTGCCACCAGTACCAGTACCGCTGCTGCTGCTCTGCTGCAACAGCGATTCCAAATTCTCGATGTAATCGATGGCGTTACGCAGTATCTCGACTTTCGGCAGTCGCTGATTCGGATTGTCGCTCGTGCGTCGCTTGAGCACCTCGAACGCCTCGTTGACCTGCGCGACGCATAAACACACAAACAAAGTACGTATATGATAATAAAGTTTTACAAAGCTTTCGTTTCGTTGCGAGTGAATTTTTCATTTTATTTTATTTATTTTACGAGGCCTCTTCGTTAACTAATGAGATTTGATTATTTGCCAGATGCAGCAGCAGCAACAACAGTACGAACCCAGCTGTGCACATCGAGTACAACAAAAAAGCTCCCCGTAGATATATATACAATATAATACACGTTCGGTCGGACAATCAGTTGTGTGTACACCACGTGTAAATAGATTGTGTATATCTGCGACTGTCTGCGTGTATGCATGTATGCAGACATTTGCTTTTCATTTGGCAGTATAACAGCAGACGCCACGCCGTGCCGTGCCACGCGTTTCGCTGCTGCTGCTGCTGTTGGCAGCACGAAGGAAAAGCCGAAATGAAACTTTTGTCACTGCCGCCGCCACCCGATGCGGATTCCGTCGGCTGTAAAATTTAATTATCAAAGCGTGTCGCGCGCGCTCAACGCGCGAGAAACGTCGCGCAGTAGTACTGTATAATAATATAATAATAATGGCGCGCGCGCGCGGGGGGCATAAAAGTTTTCGAGCTTCGTTGGCTGTGTGTCACACTGCGCGCCGCGCACTATATACAGATAGATAATATAACGAATATCGTCGTAAAATAATTCTCTATCTCTGCGAATATGGGAATGGGACGTAGAGCTCTTGGCTCTTCCTTTATTTATTATTGCCGCGAATTGTTGTGTACGTATATAAACCGAGCAAAAGAGAAGCTCGTCCTTTAAGAATCTTATGGATATCTTTAGCGATGTAAATTCATGTATATAAAAAAAGCTCCCTTTTGTGCTTCGTTATTTTTTTCTCTCTCTTCTTCTTTTCAGCGTTAATTCCTCGTGCTTTTATGAATTGTAATCGCGTGTATATCGTAAGGTAAAATTACGCGGTAAACTTTTTTTTTAACTCACTTTGCGAAGTCTGCGTCGCTCGCGCAGAGTAGCCGCCTTTCTTCGGTCGACCGTGACCGTCTTCTTTTTGCAGGCTTTGCAAGCCCAAAGCAGACAGCCACCGTCTCGATGATGATGATGATGATGGTGGTGGTGGTGATGATTACTTTGATTGTTATGACGATTCTGCTGTTGATTATTATTGGTACTCTGGACGACCGCAACTTGATTGCGAATTTGCTGCTGCTGCTGTTGCTGTTGTTGTTGTTGCTGCTGTTGATGCTGTTGTTGGCCTTGTCGTTGATGTCGTCGTAACTCCGAGTTGGACTCCGCGTCGTCTTCCTCGTCGTCTTCCTCGAGGTCGCCTTCGTCCTCCGCCTCCTCTTCTCCCTCGTCTTCCTCTTCCGGACCCTCATCTTCCTCCTCCTCCTCCTCGTCGTCGTTATCGTCGTCGTTATCGTCGTCCTCATCGTAATCGTAGGGCTCCGAGTCGGTTTGCGAGCTTGAAAATCATCGGAACGTAATCACGCGACCATTATTATCCACGCACACGCACACTTGTATATAAATCAATATGGGAGAGAATTAACTCGTCCGAGCGCGAGGGATTTTGAGTGATTTGCGGTTTACGAGTTATATACGTATATATACGAATGATTGCCGCACACTCGAGTCGGCTCGAGCACAAAAGGGTGCTTCGATGATGCTTTAGCCCCTGTATATATAATACGTTGATAATGCGCTACGTATATACGACGCCCTAGAGAGAGACCGAGAGGAGGAGGAGGAGGTGTGTAAGTGATTATTGCTCGAGTTTACTGCCCGATTGAATTGTAGTCAATCATGTACGATGACGTAATATCGATGAGTTTACGTATACGTATGTATGGAGCTGTGGGGCCATTTCGTTAATGCATTATTATATTACAACGACGACACTTTACGACCGCTCGAGAGATCATTGGGTAATTTTGGACTGAGCTCTCGATTGTTCGACTCGAGTAAACAATAGTGTAGTAACATAGAAAATGCTTCGCTTCATTTCAATGATTATTTTTTGAACCTGTATGGAATTTACGAAAATTATCATTTGATCAAAATTTCGATGGTTCATCGATTAAATTGAATCCGTTTATTCGAAAATGTTACACAAATTTTTCGAAGTAATTACATAAATATTAGTTCAAAGCTGTGTCACTTATACATTTATTTGTACTTTACCACTCGCAGATTTTTAAAGATAAAGGTACTCGACATCTAGCGGTGGAAGCTCAAATTGATATTATCGTATCCTAAGCGGTTCAAAACTGATTTTAATTTTTTTTTTGAAACGATTCAAGTATTATTTTCATACTTGACAATTTTAATCAGAATTGATCAATGGTAAAATAATTGAAAAAAAAATTTTTTCGATCATCAGGACGTCGTCGACAATTCCTACCAGGGCTTAAAAAAACTTACCCAAATTGATCGGCGGCGCTGCTGCCACGACTGGTCGAATCCTCGGACAGAGCCACTGCTGCCGCTGCCGCTGCTGTTGCTCTCGGTGAATCGCCCTGAGTACGATAATCGGCTTCGGCACCGCCGCCGCCGCCCCCACTCAACAGCGAGGTGGTCGATCGCAGTCGAGCCGACGCTGCGGCGGATTTGCCATAATTCATTTGGCTCTGCGAGAATATAAAATAATGGCAAATTGATCATATATATTCGAGTTTGATGTATTGGCACGGTGCTTTTGACCGAAAAGGGCAGCTGAACAATTGGGGGAATTGTTCGACAGGTCGATCGTGTTTTACGCCGGTTGAAGCTAGTTTACGATTTTGTGTGTATAAAGAGGATTACTGCCACTACTGTATATATACGTTGAGTACAGAGAGAGAGAAGAGAGAGTCTCGGTCGAGCGAGTACGCGCGTATTTTACTGATCGCCTAAGCGCAAATTTTAATGATGCGTAGATATTGTGTACTCTACTTCTGTCTACTCTCTGTGTGTGGCACGCAGTATAGCAGCCGTGCCCGATTATTTCGCGTCTAATTGCACGGATATATATTGAGAATTGCATGCGCGGCTTATATTCGATTGTTTTTCTTTGCAAAAAAATAGACTCTAACCCCGTGCTGCTGTTGATTACGAAGTTGATGATGATGATGATGTTGATAATGATACTGCTGATGATGCTGATGATGATGATGATGATGCTGAGCGGCAATACTGGCGTTGTTGGCTGGATAGCTTTGCTGGTAATGCTGATGATGGGGATAAGACGCCGTGGCGGAGGACGACGCAGTTGCAGCGGTCGCAGCCGCAACGACGGGTATCACCGGCAACTGCTGCTGCTGCTGCTGTTGATTGCTGTTGTAACGCGGATAAGTGGAGCCGTGATCGATCTTCGACATCAGAGTCATCATTTCCAATTGGTAACAAAAAAAAAAAAATTTCACTTTCGCACTCGTATCACTTCTCGCCGACACATGTCACTCCCCCCGCACACCCTCGTAATTCTTTTTACTTTCGTCGCGCGCACTTATGCATAAGCATAAATTCTAAGCACTGCGCGCGGGTCGCGCGTCCGATATCGCACTGAGCTCTCAACTTGAATCGTCGATGGCCCTCCTTACGCGTAGCGCGACAAATTTTTGTTACGCTTTTCTTTACTACTCTCTATCTCTCGTTCACACGCGTCTGTCGACGCGTTTATAGTTTTGTCTCGCGTGTACCGTGCGTGCATATAATGTCACCCAGAGAGAGAGAGAGAGCGAGGAGGGGACGCGCCGCGACAGAAATACTGATTCGTCGTCGTCGGGTTAGTTGCGGATCGCGCCGGACCCTCTCCGCGAGCTCCTCCTCTTCCTTCACGCCTCGATTCTCTTTTCTTCATCGTGTACGAAACGTTACAGTATAGCTAGCAGCGGTGGTTTTTTGCTGCTCCTCTCTTCGCGTCTAGATCATCGTCGTCATCTCGCAGTGTGTGTGTGCAGTGCTGCAGTGTGGGGCTATAATTTTCGAAACGCGAAGAAACGAACGAGAGACGGACCGACGGATGAGCGAGAGAAGGAGACAAGATGAATCTCTCTCTCTCACTGCAAGTTGGATTAATTTTGGGGAGCGGCTAGACTCTGTGTATGTACGTACGTGTGTGTGTGTGTGTGTGTGTTCGAGTCAACGTTACGCAATATATATTTTATTATACGATGTATATATAACGTAGAGCACGAGAGGAGGCTTTCCAATAAACTTTATTGGCAGACTTTGCGCCGCAACTATACTACCTATACTGTGGCTGCTACTGCTGCATCCGAGAGGAAGGGATGATACGACGAGAGAGTCTTCTTTATAAATCCAGCCAAAAATTATATTATTGCGAGTCGTGCCAGTAAAAGTAACCGTTCGAGTAAACTTTATTGTTTCTTCGTATTTATGTTCGTCTCGTTTGTTAAGAAAATCACGCGGGAGCTTTTTCAGCTATTTCGCAATCATCGTCGTGTACATATACATCTGATATTTGATTGCAATTTGCAGCGGATTTTCGCGCACGCCCGTCGTCAAAAAAATTCAAAGCTGCGTGTATACACACGTCATATATTTTTTTTCTCGATCCCTTGTCTTTCAATCATATCGGGGCTCGTAAAAAAGCTCGATTTTATCATACGTATCTACGTTACATGTATTGTCTTTTAATAAAAAAATATATAAATTCCATTTATATTGAAGGAAAAATCAATTTTCGAGAGATCCTTTCAAATCAAATCCTCGATCAATTGGTCACGAGAGGCACGAAGGATAAAAAAAAAATATCGTCGCGAGTACTCTCTCGAAATAGATACACACGTAGAAGCTGCGCGGGTTTATCGCTCGCGTCCCGTGTCATTTCTTTCGTTGCGAATTAAAAAAAGAAAAAAAAAGAATAAGGAAAAACAGTGTAGCCTCTTCAGCGAGAGAGAGAGAGAGAGTGAACACGTCGAAGCACTTAGCGAGTGTACTCGTGTCGCCTCTCCTCTTCTTTATATACTTGTATATACTCTCGATAGATCGGCGAGCGCACGAGAGGCTATTTTCGGATCTCGCGCGCGCGTACGGAGATTATCGAGTACAAGGAGCGCGCAAAAAGCGTGTAACGCAGCTAGCGAATCGCGATTGTTGTTGTTATTATGATTATTACTATTAGTACGATTTCGTTGTATTTTTCCTTTTTACGTTAGTTCGTATTCGCACCCCTCGAGCGGTAAGCTTGTAAAAGCTCTTAGAAAAGCTCATCTTCGTAGAAAGAGTATTCGCGTTCGATTTAAATACGCGTACATTTGATTAAAACGTTGCTCCGCCAATTTCCAGATCTCTCTCGCGAGGCCAAAGAGGTACACGTACTACTAGGTACATTTACGACAACGACTACGACGACGATTATAATTGCTCCCGAAACGGAAATGTCAAAAGCTCTCGCACTCGAGGCACGTACGACGACACAGACACACGATGACGAAGTGGGTGTGCGCGCAAAGGGGGGGGGGAAGAGGAAAAAAGGAAGGGGGAGTGGTGGGTGAGGACGAAAGCTCTATTATTCGATGCGTGGAATTGCATTTGAAACGGCCTGGTAATAGGCTCTTGTTCTTCTCTATCTGAGCTTTAATGTAACTCTGCCGCCGCCGCCGCCGCCGCGTCGCGTGTCTCTGTAAATGACAGGTCAGTAAATTAATCCTCCCGCTCGAATATATGTAAGCCAAGCGCGAGCGAGCGCGTACACCACCGCAACAGCGGCATCGGGATCGCGGGCGCTTTATTACGATTATCATTATTATTTTTTATTCTTTTTTGTCGTTCGTTCGTACGTACGCGTATATGTGAAAAAAAATCGCAAAATTACATTACACGTATATCGCGATGAAGAGCGAAAAAAGGGAAAAAAGCTGGGTCAAAAATTGAAATCACGACGCTCGCAAGGAGCATATTGCGGCGCAATTTTCCCTGTGTGTGTGTGTGTGTGTCGCGCGAAGAAAGAGAGCGAGGGAGTGAATGGACAAAACGATCGGTTCGAGACGATAAAACCAGCCATACTACTTCGGGAGTCTTCTTTCTTTCCTTTTTCAGAGAGAGCTGAGAGAGAGAGAAAAAAAAGGAATAAAACGACTTTAGAGCTCGCTTGCGTTCTTTCTCTCGCTCTCGCTGGGCCGATCTACTGATACGAGCAATTCTAAAAATCATCCGATAAACTCAACTCAAAGCTTAAATGGTATAATCGAAATTTGCGTTGTTGGGCGCTCGGAATGGGCGTTCAATGAGGACCCAAGCGAAGAAGTAAAAGGAATGTGCGTGAAGGATAAAAGTGTTGAATATTTTTGTAGCTGTGGTTACATTTTAAAAGGCAAACAATCAATATTGTCAATATGACTGTTTAGTCTGAAAATTTAATTGTATCAACTGTATGAAAAACGTAAATATGATAATCGCTCCAAAAATAACTTTAAAAGGGTACAAATTTTGGTGAATGCTACCCCGTAGAAAATCAAAGAATGTGTGTATGATCTTTTGTTTGATAATCTCAAAACCAATAGAAGAAAAGTGTACATAATGACAATTTAACAGATGAATAAAATACTTAAATGGGTTAAAGATACGAAAAAATTCATATTCACAAGATAAGTTATTTAATATATAGTTTACATTACAGTACAAATGATAAAAAGAAACTTACAGTCGCGAAAAATTGATAACAGTTGGAATAATTACAAAGTTTTTTTTTCACAAAATTCAAGAATATTTAATTCAATTGTGTCAGTTTTTACAAGTGTTATTCAAAGCAAGGTTTAGTTCCATCTTTGGGTTGAACGGTTTGCTGCGAATATGTACTGTATTTATGTGTTGTTTGAGGGAACTTATCCACCCAACTGATTTGCGGCAAATCTTACATAAAAAAAGTGTGTCACGAGGATGTACTGGGTCAACGCGAATATCGAGGTGATCCTTGAGAAAAAATCATTTCTGACAACTATCATATTTAAAAGACATGCTAGGATCAAGTATTGCATTATTACTACGAAACTCGTGTCACCTGCATCCGACCAAGTATCATTTGGCTCTTCCTTCACCCTGAAGTAATAATCTAGTTTAATAAGGAACAGCTCGAAAAATTATCGTTACGGTGAGTATAAAACACAAACGATATTTACCTCATAACCTCACTGCCGCTTTCCATCACTTTGTACGATTATTTATGTATTATTAACTATATTAATTTTTCACGATGTGCAGAGCAAAAATTTTAAGGTTAAACACCGTGAACCTCGATTTTGAGTACAGATGTGTACTATACTATATTACGGATACAATTTGTAAGTAAACACTTGTTCGTTTTGTACATCAGCTCGGCACCAGCGAGTGAGCTTATCGGCTGTATACGTATATTAGCGAGGCGATTCGGCAACTGTGATGTGTCGAAGACGAAAATTTCCCCCTTCTACCTTCGACTAAGCAATTATTGTGGCGTGTGTCGCTTTGTTCTCCGCGTGTAAATTTTTGCGGTAGATTTTGCAAAAAGTATTCCGAGATATGCTAGATTTTTGCTTGAATTTGAGTTAAAACAGACATGGGAACAAATAAATGGAAAACAAAAATAGGATATTTAATAAATTATTTTATGTACTGAAAATATAAAACGCTTCCCTTATAAAAATTTTCTATAGGATCCCGCAAAATTCCTACTGGAATCCTATAGGACCCCTGTAGGAATTTTGCGGGATACTATAGGAAATTTTTGTAAGGGTTTTTGCACTCATAACGAAATCGAGAACAGTTTGAAAACCTTAATAGTTTTTTTACAACATTTTTACAAAATTGAAGAATACATTTATGTCAAAAGTTTTCAACCAGTGCGATACCTCGAAGCTACTTGCATTCAAAAAAAGATTTGCTGTAATCATGATATTCATACTGACTTTATGGGTCAACTTCAAAAGGGTTCGCTACGATCGTGTACATTATGTTTATGGTATTTAAGGGCGATGTTTATATCCAAACGATTTTTGATAAATGTGATCACACTCGAATGGTTTGATCTGATTATGAACTACATTTATATGTTTATTGAGGTTACATTTTAGTCGAAATGATTTGTGACAAACTTCACATTGGAAGGGTTTGATACCAAAATGTACTGCATTAACATGTTTCTTGCAATTACCCTTATCCGAAAATAATTTGTGACAAATCTCACATTCGAATGGTTTGCTGCCATAATGTACTGCATTTATGTGAGTTTTGAGATTACTCTTTTGTCCAAATGATTTATGACAAATATCACAATCAAAGGATTTGCTACGATCGTGCACTGTAATTCTGTGTTTATTGAGGTCACCTGTTTGTCCGAATGATTTGTGACAAATTTCACATTGATAAGGTTTATTCTGATTGTGTAGTGTATCAATGTGAGTTTTGAGAGAATATTTATGTGCAAATGATTTGTGACAAATTTCACATTCGAAGGGTTTTCTGGGTACATGAACTGCATTTATGTGCCTTTTAAGATTATGTGAGTATCCAAATGATTTGTGACAAATTTCACATTCAAAGGGTTTTTTACGTTCATGCACTGAATTTATATGAGATTTAAGATTATCCCTTTGTCCAAAAGATTTTTGACAAATCTCACATTCAAACGGTTTGCTACGAACGTGTACTACATTTCTATGAGTATTAAGATGATATTTTTGTCCAAATGATTTGTGACAAATATCACACTCGAAGGGTTTGCTGCGAATGTGCACTATGTTGACGTGCCTTTTGAGGTGGCAATGGTAATTGAAAGATTTGTGACAAATATTACATTCATGTGATCTTATGCTTTTGTGTGTCCTACTATTACGTGAATTTTGATTAGCTTTTTCTTCAAGTTTTTTTAGATGCATTTTGCCAACATAAGATGATTTGGTTAAAGTAATTTGTTTAAATCTTTTCACCGTGTATTCATCATTTTTCGATCGATAATGGACTTGAAATTGACAATCATTGTGATAATTGTAGTCTTTTTTTATCAAAATTATGAGATTTTTTTCACCGAAGTAACTGGTTTGAATTTGATTTTCCTTTTTCACTAGCGCTTCACTACTTTGATATTCAGTTTTGCAAATTGTCAATTTAGGCTTCAGTTCAGATTTAACATCTTTGTACTCAATATCTATGATTATGTTCTCATCTAACCTCTCTTGTAATTCCACAGCTACGTTCTTGTGTTTTGCCTAAAATTAAAATAATGTTGCAGTTTTTATTGGTGGAACATTGAACACATACATTACGCATCACTCATTAATAAACTCACCGATAATTCATGAAGCGTTGGTGTTTCCAAGTTTTCAACTTTACAAGAATTCACCAAATCGAGAACATAATTGTCACCTGTGCTCGTCCTAGTCTCGCTCGGCTCTTCCTTTACCCTGAAGATAATTTGAGTTTGATATTGAGCGATCGCTTGAAAAATTATTACGGCATAACCCACACAAAATTCATACCTAAATACGCCACTGCTACTTTCCATCGTTTCCTTGATTATATGTATTCACACTTTAACTATCCACGGTACACACTTGGAAAATATTTAAGGTTACGCGTCTCGAGCAGCCAAGACTGTACGTCGATTTCACCTATATACATAGGCGAGGATGAACGTAATTTGTAAACAACTCGCTTGCCGTTGAAATCAGCTTCACTTCGTAGCGACTGTACCTACGCACTACTCGTGTATCAGCGAGTCGACCGCAAGGATTGGGATAAAATTTCCCCCTCTACCGTCTATACGAGCGCATGCATTGTTGTACGTTCCGCCGGTAGATTTCTCGAAAAATACTCCAAAACTCTTGGCCCAAGAGATGCTCCTTTTTCACTTCGGTTCGATTATACATGAGAATCTCTGCAAAACGTATTTTGGAAATAAGAGTTTTCATGGTAAAAGAGACAATCCATATATTAATTCATGAATGTTAATGAGTTGTAAGTCGATATCTTAATTGATCTATGGTAATAAGTTGAGGGTCGATATGGTTGGTGATTTCTAAAACACACACGGGAGATTTCCGTATTTAATATCTTTATTGAAAAGAATAAAGCCTTAGACCTATCATCGTAATATTTGCGTTGTAAACAGTTACATATGTTTTGAAATTTATTGATGTTAATTATATAAAAAATGTACACATACATTCATTAACACCGAAGAAATTAAACATTACAACAAATACGCTCATTAGATTTGACGTGCAGCCGCCAAGCAAATATCCTATACAAATCATCATCGATTGTCATTACTTTTACATTTTACATATTTTCACCATTTAATTTGAAGCCTTTTTGGAGCTTTTCTGGCTCTAACGGGTCTTTTTTTAATACGTTTTATTGCACATATTTTACCGTCCTTGACAGTTTGACCTGCAGCCGCCAAGCAAATGTGATACAAATCTTCGTTGTTCAAATTTTCCAAAATCATGTAGCAGCAGAGAGTCGGAAGCCGACAGTGTATCAGCACGCAGAAAGACTCTATCGCCCAGTCCAGGAAAAATTTATTCGACAGTTTCTCGCACAGATGCGCGAAGCAATCGCTGTAAACGGCAAAAGTCCTGCGCAAACCATTCGAGCGCACTAACTCGAAGTAATCCTTATACGTGAGCTGTTTTGCCGCCTCTTTGGGCCGAAGCTGGATCAGGTTGTAGAGCGACAAGTTCGTTTTTATCATTTTGATCCTTTTCATGAGGCCCACAAATTCCTCGTTATTTAAGCATTCTTCAATGGCCGGCGATTCCTCGAATAATCCATGATTTGCGAAAAAGTTCATAATCGTCAGGGCGTCGCTTAGTTCCAATTCCCATCCTTTTCTCTCAAGATGTTCCAGGGCCATCATAATGCCAGAGGCTAGTTCCACTTTAGACTCGAACTGTCCTTCGACGTTCGTTCTAAATCTCTCGTAAAAATGACGCTCGACGGGAAAAACGAAGCTGGACAGATCGGCGCCACGACCCAACAGTACGTCGATCAGGTCCAGGTTAAAATTCGCCACGGCCCATTGCAGCGGTGTCCGGCCCAATGTGTCCCTCGCATCGACCTGAACCCGCAGCTGTCGCTCGTCACAGATCCTAAACAATAACAGCGGCCAGCAAAGGTCACTGCCTTTCCGGCAAATATTGTGCAGCGGAGTCTCTCCTTTATCGTTTACCAATGTAGGATTGGCGCCGTTTTTCAACAGAAAACTCATCAATGATAGATGGCCGTGGCTCGTAGCTGAGTGCAGCGGTGCATCGTTCGAGTTATCCCGAGCGTCGATCTGCACCAGCGGACGTCCGTCGTCGTACTCGCTCGTGACCGTCATTATCCACCGCGCCAAGTTGACGGCGTCGAAGTCTCTCTGTCTCTGGCAAACGACGTGCAGCGGAGTCTCTCCTTTCGAATTAGCCAAATTTCTGTCGGCCCCTTTCCGCAGCAGCCAGAAGACCAGACCTTCGTTGTTTTCGCGCAGGGCCAAGTGAAGCGGCGTCTCGCCCTTGGCGTCTCGAGCGTCGACCGGAATCGGCCGATACCTCTCGAACAACGTCTCCGCCAACTGATGATTGTCGCCGTATCCTTGGCAAATAATATGCAGAGGCGTCGATCCCTTGGCATCAGCCAAGGTCGGATTGGCGCCTCGCCTAAGCATCAACTCGATCGCGCTTTGGTAGTTGCGGTCCGGAGCCAAGTTCAGCGACCACGGATCATTCCTTATTGTAACCGTCATGCTCCTCACGTAATCGTCGTCGCATTTTTTCTGGCAAACCACGTGCAGAGGGGTGAATCCGTTTGCGTCGCGCGCGTTCGGATCGGCGCCCCGTTCCAGCAGCGACTCGATAATGCGTTCTTGTCGCTCGACGAATCGCCTCTGATTGTTCTGCGCCCGACAAGCGTTTTCGCGCACGTTACTGTTGTTCCGGCTCGCCTCGGCCGGCTCATACTTGTCGATGCGGCAAATGACGTGCAGCGGAGTCTCCTCTCGGTCGTTGGCCAAGTTCGGATTCGCGCTGCGACTCAGCAAAAATTCCGTTATCCTCTCGAGATCGTTGTAAACGGCCAAGTGTAGCGCCGTACGGCCGAACTTGTCCCGAGCGTCGATTTGCACCGGATCGCGACAAAATAACGACGTCGCCCAGTCGACGTCGTCGTCGTCGAGCCTCTGACAGATGAAGTGCCAAAGTGGACCCCCGTCCGCGTTAACCGAGTTCGGATCGATCAAGCCCTACTCTATGTCCCTTTTTAGCTTACGCCTCCGGAATTTGTCTCGATTGGTCCTAACGGGCTGATCGGCGGATCCGAATATGTTGATTGATACAAACTGGACTTGTCCATTGTCATCGTACTCGTAACTTCTGTCGTTGGACGTAGACATTTTTCTGGGCACTCGCACACACAATCACTTATGTACGATGTGATATTATTCACTCTTATTGACTTGCCGTAATCCTCGAACAAGCAGACGTGTCGTTTGACATGGAGCGAATCATAGGTCAACACGCAAAAGCGCGCGAAGTATCTTTAGACTCTACCCGAAAGATGTTTCAGAGACTACTTGCACTTATTCGTAATTTCGACTGGATATGTCATGCTTGTTGGAAAGTGGTATACCCGAAGTATACCCGCGAAATTCTAATACGTCTAAGCGTAAATTCAAATTTCTATTGTAAAAAGTTTGCTTATACTATTTTTTCATTATTTTTAACATCATGATAGAGTGACAATAGAAAGTTATTTTCGCTTTAGAAGATTAAATTTCGCGTATAGGATCAATCATCGAGTGAATGTATGGTTACGAAAATTGCGAGAAAAATAATATTACAAAAACCACAATCATATTTTTTTATATCAGTCGACTTTACAGGAAGCTCTTTTGAAATGATTAATTTTACTAGGCAAAAATATTTCTCCGAAGGAATCGTCGTTAAGTTGGAATTTAAAATTGTTTTGAATGTTGTAAGAACCGTGTATTAACAGATAAATTGGTACCTTAGTTGTAAACAATAGTTCAATGACTTATAAATAAGTTTAAAACCCGGCAAAGTATTATTTTTTCTGATTATAACTTCTAATAATGATTATCTATTACAATTGGAAGAATAGCAGATGAAAAAATGAATCATGGTTATAATCAGAAAAAATAATACTTTGCCGGGATTCAAATTTATTTATAAGTCATTGAACAGTTAATATGAGCACTGCATGATAATAGAATAATATGTAAAAAAACGGCACATGTACTACGCATACGAATCGATTTTGCGAATTAAAATTGGTTCATTATACGTTATGAACTAGTGTCTAAAACGGATACGCCAATTTCTCATGCATACTATTATCGCAAAAATAGTTTATAAGTTAATAATCGACGAGGAGCTCTAATTTTTCTGAAAAGTGAAAATTCTGAGAGTGAACTATTATAGTACAGCTAAAAACCTTTCCGAATCACCGGACAGAATTTTGTTAAAATTTTTTTTCGCTAAGATCTCGTGACTGACATGAAAACGAAATTTGAAACATATGTGAAACATAACCTCACATGTTTTTTTCCATTAAAATTTTTTTCTGAAAAATTTTTTTTTCATAAGAATTTTTTTTTGAAAAAAATTTTTTTTTCATAAAAAATTTTTTTTCAAATAATTTTTTTGATAAAAATTTATTAATAATTTTTTTTTATACTTTGCCAGCTAGGTGCTACCGCACCACTTGATTCTGTAAGCTTAGGAAAATTACTGAGCCACAAATCGCGTTCACTCGTAAATATGACAACTTAGTCCGCGTGTTTGACATTGACAAAATCGTTCGAAACTTTATTTCTACTTCCCAAGTTGTTTTGAAACACGAAAATTTTCAGTAGGATTCAAGCAACGAAAAACTTTTAAATGATTTTTTTTGTTGTGCATTCTAACGTTTCGAATGCACAGATTTAGCTATGTTTTACTCGAGTACGAAAAAAATATAACGGAATAAAAATTCTTTAATATCACCGTTAAAGATTCTTGAAACATCGTTCTTATATTATGTTCAAAAAGTGTTTGATGTATAAATAAAAGCGTACGATCGAGTGAGATCGAGCGAGAGAAGAAAAAAAAAGGTTGAACTGTGTGTGTGAGTGAGTAAGCGTGTTATACAGAGAGAGAGAGAGAGAGAGAGAGAGAGAGAGAGAGAGAGAGACTCTGGATCCGTGTGTTGCAGCAGCAGCAATAGGAACGAGCGAGCGAGGTCGAGCCCGAAACCGGGTCAGCTGCTGTACCAACCACCGCCACCAACCACCCACACATATGCCCCCTACACACACATTTTCTCCTACTACTACTACTACTACTACTACTATCAACCCTCGCGCGTCGTCCTCTTTCCTCGGCGCAGGATTCGGGGAGATGTGTCCGCATGCAAGAGAACTGCTGCTGCTACTAGAGAGAAAGCTTCTCTCTCTCTCCGGCTGTATAGTACCGCTGCTGCTGATGCTGCACCATGTGCCAAAGCCAAAAGTTCAAGCAAGGCCAACGCCTCGCCCACTTCTTCTTTTTTTCCTTACGTTATGTATAGCATTCCTTACGTTTCTTCTCCGTCGCAGGATATACCATTATCAAAATTGTCTAACTTTATACAGCCAATGAAGCTTATATGTATAACCATACCGACGAGCGGCGACGTAATTTCATGTT